CTCTGCTGAAGGCAGACAACTCGACAATTTGAGTCAGGCAGCAGACTACCGGACTCTGAAGAGCTTTGATGAACATAGTATTTACCCAGTCTCCCCACTGAGATTAGATGTGAGACAAGGTTGAGATTTCTGTGGGGAACCTGAGCATATCCACTCAGGCCAATGGTCAAAATTTACACTGTCCTTGCAAAAGCAGGCTTGCATACATTGTTTGCTTGTTTTTCTCAGCCGAGCTTTCATTGCTAGACAGAGCCCTGACTGAGTCTCCCTCCACCCAAAAGCAGAGAGCCTTGACAAGCAGATTATCTGACTCCAAAAAGGTCTGTTGAACTCAGTATTTACCTAAGTCCTCCCAACAAAGAAGGATGTGGCACAAGGCCAGTTTTTAAGTGGGGCATTCCAAGGTCATATGTTCGGGCAAAAATTCTCCGTAGACCCCATAATAACAGGTTTAGGTTTGTCTACCTCTCCAGATGAGACTCTGCCCTTCAGCATAGCCTCATTTGGGTTCCTCTCAGAGGCAGAGAGGTTGACAACTAGTGCATTCACAAATATAGAACTTTGTTGAACTCTGCATATCAGTAGAATATATGTGTTCAGGATAGATCCATTAATGGAAGAGAGGGATCATACCACAGTAACAGCATCAAGGACACAATAAAAGGAATGACTGTTTGTTAATACTTGTTTATAAGCTAATGCATTTGAATTCACTGGTTCAAAATTTATCCATTCAGCTGCATAGGCTTAATACAGCCTTATTTCTATAACTTTGTTCATGTGGCTAGCAGTTGTTTTAATGGTTCTAAATTGTTTAAATTTCTTATTTGAAGTAATTTTTTAATTTTTGACTAAACTTTTTCATCATATTTGAAATAAGATGAAAGAAGAACTAGCAAAAATTAATAACAATATCATTGCTTCATCTAAGAAATTTACACATCAATTCTAGGAGCCATGTTTTTCTGTTAAACTATAGACTAAAGAACAATGCCATAAACATAGATGTTTATAAAGAATTTATGATTTTTTTTAAATAACCCATCTTATTTCTTTAAGTGTTATATTTAGTAGATATGTGTTTAAGTAGACATCCCTGATCCTTGGTTTTACATAGTGTAGCAAATATAAAGTTTAAGAGTAAATTGAAACGAAAATATACTTGACATCAGGAAGAAAGGGGTAAAATTTCTAGAGCACATAATGAGGAAAAAGGTTTTGGTAAATTTGATACTCACAGGACTGATTGAAGGCAAGAGAGACAAAGGTAAAAATACATAACCTACCTAATGAGCTTAAGTAAGTGGATGGCTAAGCAAGAGTTAGGAGAGGTAACAAAATTTATTAAGAGCTACAACAGAAAGAAAATTGTGGAGAGTAATGATTGCATGAAAGGACACGGCACATATAAGTAGAAAACTATGTCTGCTGGCCTGTACATTCAAGAGTCTCAAATTAAAAAACTTGTGTCTTTAAGACATTCAAATGCACAGGCTGGTAGAACTTAGTTTTACACTGTCTAAAGAAGCAGATGTCTATACAAACACATACATCCACTAAATATAACATTTGAAGTAATAAAAATACAGTTGTTTGTATATTTAAACACAGGATGAACAATGTCGGATGATTCTTTCAATTCTCTCATTTTAATTATCTATTGTTTTCTCTGTGAAACTATTTTGGGGATTATTTCCACCTAAAAATAACAAATGAATGCCTTTTTTGTTGGTGTTGTTGTCAGTTGGAAAAAGAAGTTGGCACTGGTTTCTCATTTTCCCTCACCAAATCATTGTTCTTATGACAAGGTTTATTTATTCTTCCGCAGATGAATATCAGTAATATGTAATTGAAAGACAACTCTGTGTGTCACACTGGCAGTTATCCAATCCATCAGTTCTTCTACTAATTTAAGTAGGCAAGCATATATCTGCATCTGGGGCACTCCAATGTGGTGTAATGGTTAGCAATCTTGTCTTGCTAGAACAATTATGACTGTGTAGTGAGTTCAATCCTCACTAGGTGTCCCATACTTTTAGCTTTGGGCCACATCTAACCCATGCTTAGAAAATCACCATATATTTGTATCTATTAAAGTGTCACTGAGTATATGTATACGCATACATTTTTTTAGTCATTTCACCACAAGCAAGGCAACAAAACCACTAGCACATAGAAGGTTACTGAGTGTGAAAGAATATAAGAAAAACATTATTTAGGAGCTAAAATAAAAAACAGAAATTAAGAAGATGGAAAATAATGATTGACATTGGCTTAAAATTTTTGAAGATCAAAGTTAACTGGAATGAAAGATTTTAGAAGGGAATTCCATAAGCAAGAAATCTGAGAGACAGAAAAGCTGTTAGCATAGAAATTATGGTTACATTTCAACTGTAAAATGATGAAATGTTGACACCAATCTAGTACTGCACATTAATAGAGTCTAAGTACTATGGATGAGAGTTCATCAGAACACTTACCATGAAAGTATTTATAGAATTCCATATCTCAGGCAATGAAGATACAGCAGATAATGGCCAAACTATAATGCCTATCTTGAAGCTGAATCTAACCACATCAACAGCAAGATAGATGACCTTTTAAGACAGCACATCAGCAAGTAACACCATCTAGTTTAGAAAACTGTAAAAGACCTCTCTGGCAAAAATTCTGGCTCCACCATCAGAATCAAAGAAAGATCCACCAAGAAATGTCTCAAAAACTGGTCAAACCATTTCAAGAACATACTTGGTAAGGAACTGTATACTCCCAAGTGTTCAAATATCGGATCCTCTAGAGATTGCCACCTCCCTTCTTGATCAGTGAGCTTAAAACAGCAACCAAACAACTCAAAGATTCCAAAGCATTTGGTCCAGACAGCATCCCAGCCCTTATTTGGAAAGATGAGCATTTTCAGCAGCTCCTACCCAACCTTTGTAACCACACCTTCTCAGCATTCAAAGGTCCAAACATTTGGCACAATTTACAGATCATTCTTATGCCAAAATATGGAGACCACTCTCTAGCAATCAACTATAGAGGAATCTCTTTGATGCCAGTTGCTGTCATGATGTACAATGAACTCATCCTCAACTGCTTGTTTAACCTATACTCAGGAACAACCAAAACAGCTTCAGATGTAGCAGATCTACCCTAAGCCATTCCTGTGTCTGTGCATACTTACTGAGGAATCCAAACTGAGCAAACTAGACCTTGCATTGGTTTTTGTTGACTTCTCAAAGTTTTTGACTCTGTTGACAGATCTAAAATGTTTGAAATTCTTAAACTTTATGGAATCCCTGACAAAGAGATTGACACCATCAGGGTCATGTACACAGATACCTCATCATCCATTCTCACTCCTGATGAAGAAACACCACCTTTTTCCATTAGAGCTGGAATACTGCAGGGCGATATACCTGCACCATTTCTGTTTATTACTCTTGTGGATTATGTGTTTCATATGTCAGTTGACAATCTGCAAGATAGGGTTTCCAACTATACCCACAAGAAGCTCTCCCCTGCTAAATATGTTACAGATACTGATTTTACTGATATCAGTCAGTCTCTAGAGAATGTGCAAGCTCTCCTACAATCTTTTGAGCAAGCCTCCAACTGTGTAGGTCTCTATCACAATGAGTCAAAAACTGAATACGTGAACAAATGTACAGCCAACATCCTATAAAATCTCTTAATAACACCAATTTGAATCAAGGTGAGGATTATAAATATCTAGGGTCATTCATCTCCTCCTCCTTGAAAGATTTCCAAACTAGGAAAGGTATGGCATGGTCTGCATGCAATGATATGAGATCTGGATATTACAAATGGACAGAAAACTCAAGATCAAAATATTCAGAGCTGCTGTTGAGCTGATACTACTCTATGACTCAAAGACATGGAAACTCTAAAGGCATGGTAAAATGTCCGGATGGAACCTACACCCATCTTCTGATGAGAGCTCAAAACCTCTCTTAGAATTGCTATCTGACTATTCAACAAATTTACAGCAGTCTTCTCCGTGTTTTCTCTCTCATATGAACTTATCAAGCACAGTTTGCTGGCCACTGCCACCATGCCGAGAATGAGGTTGTCTCCTCTCTCCTACTCTGGTAGCCTGTGTCAAACCTGACCAGGGGCAGAAAACTATAATTTCCTGCAGAAAACTATAATTTTCTGCAGAAAACTATAATTCCTACCTACCATTGTCTGCATCTCAAGGGATGCAGGCAATGGTAGGTAGGACTTGGGAACAGCAATAAAGGACCAGGAGGTCTGATGTAATGTTGTGAACTCCATGAGCTTGACTGCGGTCAACATATGATGAAGATTTATAGAAAAATCAGAGAAAACAAAATTACAAGAGGAAAGAGACTGAAGCCAAGATGATCACTGACATTGCAAATTCTTTTTTGGATTTTATCAAGGAGGTAATTAAAATATATATGTACACCTAGACACATGTTCTTTTACTAAAGTTCACCCAATATAAGGCCCAAGAGTCACTCAAAATAGAGGGTTACTGAATATATATGTAAAAGGAAATGATAGAAAGTGTATATTATGAAGATGAGATGGATTGATAATGACTGAGTTGGAAAGTCTTTACTAGTCACTGAGATGAAAAGTTTTTAATTACAAAATACCTAACTTCATAGATGAGAATGTTTTATGCATACAGTTTTGTACATAGCGCAAAAACACACAGACACACCCTCACACACATATATTTATAGACATACACACATTTTCACATGCACACACACATTCTCATAACTAAATTCTTATCAATCAGTTTTATAAATAGGAAATCTCCCATCAACTTAATTGTCTACCTTCAAATACTAAAGGGAATCCAACTGGATAAAAAACATATAGATTAACAAAATGGTAACTCCATACTTGCAAGAAACCTCTTGCTTTCTTGACATTGTATTCTGATTGCAATAACTACAAAATATAAATATTTTTATATAATTACATATCTCTGTTTCTCTCTAATGCTCTATCTCATCATTCTTTGTTTGCTTATCTTTCTTTTGTCTGTCTGCATATATATATATATATATATATATATATATATATATATATATATATATATATATATATATATAAAAACTAGACAGATATATGCATATTTCATAAAATATGATGGTCAAATGATATTTTATTCAGTTTTCTTGTGTCCTTAAAATGATTTTTTTTTTTATTATTGAATGTGGAGCAATTGTCTATCGTGTTTATTGTCCCAAGCATACTGGGAGTGGGGACATGATAATGAGGATTATTAATATATTCTTATTTTCTTTCCTCATCAGAGCTCATCAGAGAAGTTCTCATGAAAATATTTGTAGAAAAAACAGAGGCAAGCCAAATTGGTGAGAAAGTTATTAAAATCAAGATTCCTGGTCAAGATTAATTATATTACAGATTCTTATTTGAATTTTGTCAAGAATCTTGATATATACATCTGGAATAAACTTTTACAGGTTATTTACAGGTAGAAAATATTTTTAGATAGCAAGAAGTTTTTGGAAATAATGATGATTTACTAATACCAGTCCTACTAATTAATCCATAGCTGGGTGGAGAAGAGGTAGATTCATACCTTTCCTAAGAGTATTTGCACATAAGGGAATATAACAAACCTAACTGGAATTGGAACACAATTCTCCATTCTGCAATTCTGAGTCATTATCCATTACACCATCCACATATCTAAGCTTATAGTGCCTGATATTCTCAAGCAGTCACCCACCTAGATACTGACTATACTCAGTATTGCTTAACTTCAGTAATCATATCTCAATGTGATATAGCTGTAAATCTTCTTTCTTTGAATAATAGCCCATAATATTAAAGCACTATTTTATATCTTTAGTGGCATGGTATTTCTGAGTTCAATCCTTAGATTGGGTAGAGTCAATAGAAACAAGGTAAGCATTATCTAGCAGAATGAGAACACACAAATTACATATATATATATATATATATATATAAATAGATAGATAGATAGATATGCCAGGTGTAACAGGAAAATTGGACAAATTGTGTAACAGCAAAATTGTTCAATTATTAGATTACATTCTGAGCTATTGTATCTTAGAAATGATTAAAAATATCTTACTGGAATTCTCTGACATTTTTATAACACTATTGGACTCTACTTTGAGCCATAAGATTGTTTAATTACTCTCCAAACTTAACAGAAGAATCAGGATGAAATCAATCATAAATGAAAATGACATGCTTATTAATTAGTCATAGCTAAGGATTGGAAGCTCATAAAGGATTGAAATAAAGTTCAAATATATATATATATATTTGCAGGACCATTTTCCAACTTATTCAAGATGATATTTGTCCTTTCTATCCTTCTAACTTTCTATCCTGATGTAACAAGATGCTTCACATGTTTCAAATATGATTTCATTCTCAAGTCTTTTTTCACTGCTCTTTGGACTGTCATAACTGAAACTCTCACGTGCCAAGCGTCTTATGAATTGAGTTCGATATTTTCTAATTAATCTCTTTAGCACTGAGTTGTAATGATGATCCCTCTTCCTGTTGTGACCTCCTGATCCAGTTTTCCTCTCTACTGTTCCGTTCCCTCTTTTTAAACTTATTCACAGTTCTCTTGATGGTTCTTGAATGAACTTTGAAGATGAATGTTGGTACCATTACAGAAGGCCTGAATGATCTTTTTCCCCATCGCTGTTGCTCAGTTGGAGGTGAAACAAAACAATTTTAATCTGTTCTATTTCTAGCTGAATAACTCAGAGGGTTTTTCAATGATTCTTATGAAAAATTATGTCAAGATGGATAAATGTTTTATCTGAAAACTGGGAAAAAAGTAATTCAATTAGTATAGTGTTTTTTTAGATATTAAACATTTTGGGAGATGAACAGTTATGCTGTAACACAATTTGGTCAATTTGGTGTTAACCCCATATATATATATATATATATATATATATATATATATATATATAAATGTAACAAAAACAAAAAGAATACAAATTCAATCATTCATAGCATTAATTTAAAAGAGGCCTCAATACCAAGAGACAAGCAATAGGTATTTAGTATAAAGATGTTACATAGAGACAAGCAAGTACTCACAACAAAGATTCATTTTGGTTTCAATATATGAATATGAAAAAAATGGAAAAAAGGAGAAAAAAAAAAGAAAGAACAAAGGAAGACATTTTACTATAAACAGTTTTATGCTTATCTTTAGCAAAGAGTTTTTGATAAGCATAAAATTGTTTATGATAAAATCCTTAGTGATAGTGGTTATAGATCTTCTGAGATTAAGTATGTAGTAAATTATAGTTATTCTAGGAAGAAGAACAGAAACAGGAAGATCATTTGGTATACACCTCCATTCAATAAATGAGTTTGTACCAAATTGGGACACAAATTTTTAAACTTGATTGCTAAACATTTTACTAAGAATAGTCAATCTTCAATCATAACACCCTGAAAATTATCTATAGTTGTAATAGCAATCTGGATAAAATTATTAAATTACTAATAAAACACTAAAACTTTATAATGATAATAACTGTAATCCAAGCACAAATTGTAATATATCCCATAATATCTATGTAATTGTAGGAATCCTGACCAATGTCCATGAACAAACAAATGGAATCCATAGTAATTATGTGTTCTATTTCATAAATTGAAAATTCTGGAAATATTAAATTATATGTTGGTTTCACTAGGAATGCCTTTAAAAAAAGTTATTATAATCAAATATTTAGCAAGCGCAATATGACTTTACTTTCTAAATATTTCTGGAAATTGAAAGAAGAAAACAAAACATGTAAACTTAAATGGAAGATCCTCAAACAAGCTAGAAATTGTAGATCTTTGCATGCACTTTGCTTTTTATGTCTTCTCAAAAAAAGTGTATTATTAAGATTTTGAATTGTCACAGCTGCCACTGGTCACCATTGCTGGCCACTCTTAAATAAAACAAATAGGGTGACCTTGACCATCACAACCCTTTTGCTACCAAAATTAAATCAATGGTTAATTAGCAATTAAACCACTACCTTGATATATTTTGAGTTAGAAACATATCATTCTGATAAGAGAGTGTTAACCTGCATTTGACAGCATTTGGTTTTGTCTTTATTTAGTGTTTTCTACAGCCAGTAGCAGACAGTAGATGAAGAAATTTTTTCAGACCAGAACATCTTTGACAATTCCCCCAAATCATTGAAGTAGACAGCCAGAAGGCAGGAGGTTTCCAACCTTTGTGTTGGGATAGCTCCAATGATTTATCTGAATCATTGAAGTAGACGGCCAGGAGGCAATCATTTCAGCTCCCATTTCACTTTTGCATTCCTGTACAGCAACTAACCCACTTCTCATCATTGATACATTCCTGCACAGCATTTGACCAACTTCCCATCATAGACATATCTAGTCTGACCATTGACACGACCAGATCAGCCACACCTCAGCTTCCCATCATCGAGACGTCTAGTCCGACCGCCGACATGACCAAATTGACTGCACCTCAGCTCCCCATCATTGACGCATCCAATCCGATTGTTGACATGACCAAATTGACCACACCTCAGCTTCCCATCATTGACGCATCCAATCCGACCATCAACACAACCAGATCAACCACACCTCAACTTCCTGTCATTGACACGTCCAGTCCAACCACACTTCTATTACCTGATCTCAAAGCCCAACCAACTGAGGATCAACTTACCTACCGTCGGTTTCACTAAAGATTACCAGTCCAGTCTACATGAACCTGACATTTCATCCAACAAATCTTTTTCGGTTTTCATCATTTTAATGAAATAAAACTGATGTTTGATTAAAATATAAACCTTCACATTTGTCTCCTCTTTGTCTTGGCTGTTGACACCTTTCTTTGAACACAAATAAGCTTGTGAGGTCGACATCCTTATTGGCCCCACAACAGAATAATGCTTAATTGTCAAACCAAAGATTTGAAACTACAGTTTTTTGTAAGCATGTTAAAGATCTTACATTACAATCTTACTGAACCTTTAACATTATAATTATCTTCTCTTATATATCATTTTACCTTCTTATATACATATCACTGTTATATTTACTGATCTATCTTAAATTAAGTTTCTAAATTTCTGATTTGTACATGTATACTACTAATAATAATATTAGATAAAAATAGTTTTATACCTATACTTATATTATGAGTTATATAGTGTGGTAATTGGTTTATTATTTTTTTTAAATTATACTAGCATTCTATACTTTATATGTCTTTTTATTCATATTTTAATATCTGAATTTAAATTTTAATTAGATAATGTGTCTCCTTTTTTGAATAATGTGAAACATTGATTGTTACATAATATCAAGTGTGTTTCAATATAGCAAGCATTTTCAGTTGAGTTTAACTTTTTCGGGATAATTTTTCATCTTAATGTTAACGTTCTTTAATTAGTTGAATTTTTATTAATACATATTGTCTTCTTTTGTTCCTTTTATTCTTTCTTTCTTTTTTCTTTCTCCTTTTTTCCCATTTTTTTCATATTTATGGAGATCTTTCTCTTATTTGGTTTTGTGACGTCACCCCGGCCTCTCTGCCCCCGTGCTATCCTGTGACGACCAATGTGACTTGGTATTGCTCGCGATGCCAAATGTGACATTCTAACCCTTGGCTGATTCAGATGGAAATCTGGTTAGATTCGGTATCAGCTTTGTCATTCCCAGCTCACCTCCAACATCTAGTTACTGAAGTAACTGCTAACCTACCCACGTTGTGATTTGATCTTAGATAGACGAAATCAATCAGTCGCCGGGACATAATGCAAGCTGAATTCGAGCAAAGGTGACATTGCACAAGTATATGTAAAAGAAAATAAAGTAACAACTCGAAAGATTCAAATGTGTTAAAAAAAGAATAACAAATATTTTTATATCTGGTTGCTGAATACAGGACTGCGTCTTTCTCCCAAACCGCTTCTATGGATACGTGACACTTTGTGTTTGTTAGGCGAGTCTTAATATCTTAAGTTGTTTCTCAATAACTGGTTTTTGATGTCTTCGGGCGATAATTGCAAAACTTGTTTTGGTGGTGGGAGTCTAAGTCATTCTTCAAAAATAAATTGTTTTTGGTTAGAAATCTAAGTCGGAAGGCGTGGATATCTTTCAGTCAGCTCAACTCTGTCTGCGTCTGCGTCTCCACGGAACTCTGCCGAACTTTACCCAACTGCCACTGTCTACTCCGTTTATATGGACGCCGACCAAAACCGAGTGTGGGCCTGTCGTGGTTTGGGTTCCTCGATAATTCTAAATCCACAATAAGGATTTTCTTTGTTTTCGGACAGGAAAATTTATCACTTTCCATTTTTGGAAGTTCATTACATTCTGCTTTAGAGGGGTTCTTAAGGGAATCATCCTCCCAAATTCTTCCTTTCTCATATAGGTATCTCACACCAATCCCCTTAGAGGCGTCAACAGGCCTCCCCTCCTTCTCATATGTTTACCTTCGCCCACCGCTCACGCCACCACTCAGCCAATGAACACTCAGCAGCGTGGGTGTGGCTAGTCTGGCCTCAGTCCACAATTATCACTCAAAGGAAAAAAAATTATCTTTCTTTTTCTTTTCTTTCTTTTCCCCGACTGGACCCCTACGACTCGTAGTGTGGTCCTTAATCTCTATCTTAACCAAATGTCATCTGGAATTTATCAACGAGATTTTCGTCAAATGATTATCATCAGAATGGTCAGATAAATCTCTCTGTAACCTCAATGCCTTCGTACTCCTATCGTCAACAATCTGTCCCAGTAACAAACTTTTATCATGCCAAGGTCTGAACATAAAACAGGTGTCTTTTCCCAAAACCAAATGATATCTCTGAAAGATAGTTAATGGTTTATTCTTTTCCCTTCTTCTCTTTTCCCTTCCTTTTTCTTTGGGGGTGGTCACGATTATCTTCCAGCTTTCTGTTTTGTAGGCCACTTGACCAATTTGAAATTTTCATTATTGCTATGGGCAGATTGTTATCTTTTATTCGCTGTTTCATAGCATAAATTAATTCTGACAGATCCGAGATCTTACGAATTTCCTATCTTCTGCGAAAAAAGTATTTTTTTTCGCAAATGAAAATAAAACCTTTACCACTTTTCTTTGTTAAAAAAAAAATAACATCGCTCAGTATGTCTTTCGTGATAGCTTCTTCTCGCCTTAATTATTTCTCGCTTTTAATTTTCACACGACCGCTAAATAGTGTCACAGTTTTCTATTCTATTCTCTTCTATTCTTTTTTTCTTTGGAGTTATGACGTATTGTCTTTAATTTTTTTCTTAACTCTTATACTTCTCTTTCTTCTTTCCTTTATTCTTTTTATTGTCTTCTTATTCTCTTTTCATTTACCTGTTTTTTCTACTTCTTCTTCTTATTATTTTTCTTTTCCTTTTATGTAAACCCTTATATATTTCTTTTGATTTTATGCTGTTTCTTCTTATGTCTTTATAAAAAGATTTGAATAATGAAAAAAAGTAAGTGATGTTTCATTTTTTAAAATAAAATCATTTATAACCATCTTTGTTCCTCATCTGCCAAGATGCGTCTGATTCGAAACAAAAATGCTTCTTTGTTGCGAGTACTTGTTTGTCTAACTGTAACATCTTTTATAACAAATACATATATATATATATATATATATATATATATATATATATATATATATATATATATATATATAGATAGATAGACAGATACTGATATATAATACACAAATTAACAAATACAGAGATATACAAAAGAATGCAAATACTATGTTTATGTTTGTAACAAGGTGTGCAGGTGAATAGGAAAAGACCTTTTATTATCTCCCCTGTTTACTGAATTGTTGATCTTGTCTCAGGCCACAAATAAATGATCATTCATGCATCACTACTTTATCATCAGTTTCTCTCACCTTTTCTCTTGCCATTGTAACTCTTGATGCCATTGTTGTTATTTTTCTTTGCTGAATTGATAGCCAAACACAAATCATTATTTCTATTCAGTGTTCTGGAAGGCTTTCATACATCTTTCCATCATCATTCCTTTCAGCAATCTTCAAAGTCTACAGCAAGAACAACACTTCATTCAAATACATTGGAATATATCCAGTCATTTTATAAATAGATCCACTCCATTTGCAAATATACTTTTATCCTGTTTTTATCTGTCTATTTAAGGCATTTAAGGCATTTAAGGCATTTAAGGCATTTATGTGTAGTTGAAATATTAAAAACATACTTGCATGTATAAATATTAAACTGAACCAAATTTGGTAAAGGGCCATATTCATGAAGAATCCAACAAAGAATGAATTACCAATTAATCATCACTTTCAGACAGGTATTCATATCTATCTATCTATCTATCTATCTATCTATCTATCTATCTATCTATCTATCTAACTATCTATCTATATATATATATATATATATATATTAAGCTAAAAGTTCATCCTTTAATTTGTCTACTTATTATGACTGAAAATTAAAAAATTAATTTTCAACCTATAAATATATTTAATGACATATTGTTTTAAAAGTTTAACCAACTCAGTAAATTGCAAATTAAGTTTTGCTTTAATATAATATTTCTACAATATATCTTGTATAAAAATGCTGAAGCAAAACACATTGACATTTAGTATCTTCAATTTTTGACTTCAAAACTGAAATCAAAAATTAATCTAAAAATAAAAATAAAATAAAAGGAAATTGTCTTTCTACATCATCAGATTTAATGAAACAATGGCTTCTTTATCATACTTAATATAATATAAAATTATTTTTTACCAGACAAGTTCTCTATATACATGTATATATGAGAGATCTTAACTCCAGGAAAGCTCCTGTGAATGCAAATATGTCATCTTCAAAGCTTGTGAAGTTTGTGGTGATCACTTACATGTGCCACACCTCCGCTTTCTTTAATGTCATTGGTTCATAAAGATATGATACTTACTATATGACAACACCCAGTAACAGGACCCAAAGAGTGTGAGTTCAATAACCGGTTAAGGCAGTGGAGAACTTTCAGAGGGAAATTAACAGGAGATAACTGATAACTGACATCCATCAAACATGGCACGTGGAACTAGAACAGTCTACCCCAGTGAGCGAAATAAAGGGTTCAGTTCGACATTCCAACCACCTGAAGAAGGCTGGAGTGTACAATGGCCAAAACGTTGTAATAAATATGGCGACAAAGATGAGGACAATAGTCTGAATAATGTAAATAATTTTTACTTTTGTTTATATATACATGTTGCAAAATAATATCCTTATATGAAAATTACTTTTAAATTATCTATTAGTCCTTTGTAGAAATAAATAGTGGTTATATAGAGAAATCAAGTTTTAGTATAAGTAAGAAATCTCTATGGTGAAGAAAATTATCCTGTATTATTTCATCGCTGTAAATGACCATTGATCTTCATCAATATATCATCCTGTCTAAGCCTGATTAGTGAGTAAGATAGTTGTATATTTTCCACTAACATTAGCAGGAAATTTTTCAACGTAGATGAAAAACAGAATTTTGAAAGAAAATCTTCAAGGAAACAGACCCTCCCTACTTGAAAGATTGGTGCAACACACAACATACTACCTCTATTTTGACCTGATTAGCTTTGTACTATAGAAAACAAAACATTGTAAATGTCAATAGGCGACAACTGTGGGAAGGTGGACACAGTATTGCAGTCAGTGAAATTTTAGATCCCTTCAAAATTGATAATGTATAGAATTATTGTCAAGATATCTTTTGAAAGTTTAAGGGAATATTCATGCATGACTATGCCCATTTGAATTCTACAAGAATAAAAAGAAACTGAATTAATTGAATGAATCAGCTTTTCTTAATATTAATCCAATAGAAAACATGTGATCCATTATTATAGGGATGGATGGATGTGTGAGTAACATAACATATAGCATAATAATAACATAGTAACATAAGTATTGGCATGGAAAGAGAAATTGGAAAGCCAAGTTTCAATTCTAACTTAGCCAGTTGCATTCCCTTCTGCTCAGATATGCTGTTGAGAAAGGTAGGATTCCATCTTTTCACTTATGGACTATCAGTAAATAGTAAGATAGTCCAGACTCTCTAGTCTTGGGTGGCAACCAATCTAAGGGAAGAAGGCAACAGGAAATGACTCCACTACCTTTACCATGAATGGATCATCATTCAGAAATAATACAGGAGATAGAATTCAAACAATATGGCAACTTAAAAACAATAATATGAGAACAGATAATAATTTTTAAGCAAAAAATATCTTTGGGAGCAATGAAAAATTATTACAAGTAATGTTAAAATTGAAAAGTTAACAAAATGAATCCAGTGACTGATGAAGCTTATAGCTGTAGTGACATCTGTCCTTCTTTAAGGCAGTGAATGTTGGACAATTTCTTCAAGGAGGAAGAAGAGACTTGAGATGATGGAGATGTGGTTCAATAGAAGAATGCTAAGGATATCATGGACTGAGCATGTGAACAATGATGAAGTCTTAGAGAGGATGCAAACAAGGAGGAGACATACTTAACATCAGGAAGTTTCTGGGACACATAATGAGGAAGGAAGGCCTGGAGAATTTGATACTCACAGGTCAAATAGAGTGAAAGAGAAACAAGGGAAAACAATGCATGACATACCAGGCGGGCTTAAGCAAGTGAATGACAGAACATGGTCTTGGGGAGAAAACAGAGGAAAGGAATTTATTGAGAGATGGAAGGGATAGAAGGATGTGGAGAGCCATGATCACCTACATCCAGAAAGGACATGGCACATAAAAAGAAAGAGAAGACAAGCACAGGAGGAACTTATCTGAAACTTTATTTGACATAGAATGGAGTGTGTCCAAGATGGACTTAATTAAATATTTATAAGGGACAATGTATTTCATATTAACATGTAAAATATAAGTATATATTTCAAGGATATGGAAAATTTTATTTTTTAATGCCATGTCTCTTCAGGGCATAAGCAATCATGGCTTGACAGAGATTTCTTTTCTTTATTATCTCTAAATTCACATGCAATATTGGGAAAGATAGTGAAGTAGTTTCCTATTGCCTTCTCCTTGCTTTGGAATTCAGTTTTTCCCATTTTAGACTCATTGCCACCCAAATCTAGAAAGCCAAATCTTATCTTGCTATTTAACCTATAGCTGAGGATATGGAGCATTATTTTAACCAAATATATGTTTCTATAGCTTTGATGTTTTGGATTTATTTATAAATAAAAAGTTATATTGTGCTTGGTTTTTTTTATAAGAAGATATGACAAAAAAAAAACAAGTTATTATCAATATTTTCAGTAAGGAAAGATATAAACTCACAATCATATAAATATATCATTACTAACTTTATTTTGTTGATACCAATCTTGAAAACATTGATTGTATAATTTCCTAGTGTTTGAACCTAGAAACTGACTCATCTAGATACATACAACTGTCAATAAAGACATCACTTTGTACATTGCACATAAATCAATGTTTATAAATATAGATATATGATATATATGGTAACTTGCATAAAGAAATACTCTCCTTTTTTTCAAATTGCAAAGAATGAAATCAAAGGTCCATTGTTTATAAAATAATCATACTGTATGTACAGTTATTAATTTCCACCAATACTAAAAATAGCTAAAATAACAAAGCCCTCTTAATTCAGGAAATTATTTTCAGTCCTCATTTAACCAGTCCTTTTTTTTTTCAGCCATGATTATTCATCATTCAACTGACTGACTTTGTGAAGAATTATCTTTGATCCAAACCAATGAATTGCTCCAGGAAATAGTTTTTCATGCCAACAGACTTGTAGGTGTATCTTTACAATAAAATAGAAAGCAAAAACTAGGCACATCACTAAGTCGGTTACGACTCAAACAGCTAAGAGAAAGAAAAAATAATGTCAGAGCTAAAAAGGCTTTTATAATAATCAGCCATATTCTTTTAAATTATTAAAACATAACTGGAGTAATTATAGTGTGATGATGATCATCATCACACACATACCTACACAAATTCAAATTTCAATAACAATCATTCATTGGATAGAAATCAATGCTGCTATCTTATGCGACAATTTTGAAATTGCTATATTTTCATATAGTAGATTTTGTGCACTTTTGGGAGAATCAGCTCTGAGAAGTCTCCCCAAAACTCATGCACTGATTGGTCAGCATTGACCAATCAGATTCTCTGCACGTGGAGAATGATTCTTCCTGTGCAACACTCCTGATCCAATGACCATCTATAAAAACAAACACGAGTTTGCCTCTTCCTCTTTTTCCTTCAGGCCTCATGCTGAATCCCACCTCATGTGGAGGTGAGGTAAATCTCTCTTTCTTCTCTATTCTTGCTGCAACATGTATTCCCAGAGAATTATCATCTTGACCTTGCAGTCAGACGTTAAAGAACATTACCAACATACATGTACCTACGAATATTCACCACAAACATTCACCAAAATACGAACGTTCACACACACACACACAAACACAATGGTAACTGTCTATGTGCTTTGTAAATGTTTTGTTTAATACATATATTTGTTTATATATATCAGTCTTGTTTGTTTGTCTTCCTTATCTTCAGTTGGACTTAATCCGAGTCCAACATTCTATTGTAGATGGACATTCATCTAGCAGGAAATATAAACACATGTTTTCTTTTACCCGGTCCACTACAATAATATATATATATATATATATATATATATATATATATATATATATATATATATATATATGTATGTATGTATATATATAAATAAATAAAAGAAAGAACAGTAAGATATATAATCCGGTGTTCTTATAGATATTTTTTTTTACAAAATAGTGCTCAATGTAAATTTACAGAGCATTAATATTATAAATTAATTGATTTAAAATATGGTTTTTCCGCTACACATTTCTAACCACGTTTCAAAAATGGAAGGTCCAAATTTAATTTTGTAATTAAATTAAAGACATTAGTTCCACTTCATCCTCAAGCGAATTTTGGAGTAAGTTATAAAATTACTGAGTTTTAAAGTCAGCAAAAATCATAATTTACGTTTCCAAGGAAACAGAGAAATTCATTTCAACCAGACGAGGGGTGTTTGCGTGTTCATTATGTCTCTATTTTGATGTATCAGTTTTGGTAGGGGTAGGGATGTATTCTTCAATGAAATCTGACATCCGTTAAATGCATGTCGTCTGGATTTTTTTTTAAAATTTTATTGTTAACGGCAAAGATTCTTACGGCATTTTTTCTATTTGTATATTTAAAAATTTGTGGGTGGGTATTTAGGTTAGAATACGTTTTATTTAACTACAATTTGAAAAATATTTTCACTTTTAATTTTTAATATACTATATTTCTTTTAAGAGTAAGTAAATGTATTGGAATCAC